ATTCTATTTATTTGTACAAAATCCACAGAAATCTTGCATGAAAGGAAGTTAATTCTCTGCTAAATCAGTCCTATTTGGTTATATTTTTACTGTAATGCTAGCTTCATGCTTTACCTTAATGTTAGCTGTGCAAGTTCAATTACAGATGGAAGGAAATATGTAGCTAAAGCCACATGCATTATATTCAAAATATACTACTATATATGCTCCTAAAGCGAGCCCTAGAAGGAAAACTATTACATTTTGTAAAGTCATTCTCTCTGCATCATATTATAAATTGGGAGTTAGAGACACAGATCTTTTACAAGAAATAAGAGAAATATAAGGTGCATTTGCAGCAATGTAGTGTAAAGTTTGAAAAAGTGACTCATCTGTAGCTTTCTGGAGGATTATATTCAGACAGAATTTATCACTGTGTAAATTATAATGCTAATATATAGAAGATGCCAGATTCAGCAAACAGTCATTCCCATAGCTATGCTCACTCCTACACATATTCCCACTGAAGACAATGGGACTAGCCATGGAAGTAACTGTTTGCAGGATTGGATGAAACCGTGCTTCCTGAAGATCCAAAACATGACCTAATTGAAAACGCCTGATATCTGGTGGGAAAAAATCCACACGGTTCTAAATGGATAATTACTTTAAAATCCATGATTTTGACACCAGGAAATTAAATTCATATATATGTGTATCTTTATCTAGACACAGTGAGTCCAATAATTTTGTGTGCTCTGCAGTCACTTAGCCAGCTGGCAAAGAGAGGACAAATTAACTAACAAACCCCATTCCCTAAGGTATGCTGACATCAGTGATTCATGATTGATCAATGATAGTGCTAGGAAATAAGTAACAGGACTATATTGCCTTGTGCTCCACAATAAACTCAGAGGGAAATGTCTAAGTGTATCACATTGAAAAGACAGACTTGGCAGGAAAATAATTTTTACAAGTACTTAAAAGGTGTTACAAGCAACTGAGTGTAAAGAGACAAATTAAAACCACTTAGAAATAATTGAGCATGTCCCTTTAAATAAAGAGGGACAGTTTTATATAAACTGACTTGGAATTAAACTGACAACGGGTGTGTTTTGATGTTAAAAGCATTTTACAGAGAGAAAAATCATATCATGAAGACAAAAATGGAGCTTGAACTTCTTTTTCAAAAGAAACAGCTACTGTGGTTTGGTTGGTTATCAACGGAAAGATGCAATACAGAAGAGAAGATAGGCTTACGCAGTGCAACATTATTCATGTTAATGACAGTAATTATGACTGTTACAACCTTTCTAAATAACAAAAAGGGCTAAAATTCTTACAAAATGGCATTATATGCACTATTTAGAAAAAATGCTTATGTTAATGCATGATTGATGGTCTGCTTTGAAGGTGACTGAATTATCATCATAAAAGCCTAAACTTATTAATTGAAGAGAAATGTGTAGCTTTCTCTGGAATAGTAGAAACTTGTGCTGCATGCTTTATCTAGAACAATAAGATCTAATACATCATTAACCAACTGCAGCTTTGCTCTACATTTTTTAGCTTTAACCTAATTATGATGAGGTGTAGCTTGACTATATTTTTAATCCTTTTTAGAGCCTATCCAATTAAAATGGAGTGAACTTGTTTATGCTATTATAAGAATACATACATTGTTAACAATGTTATGCATAACACAGCCTCTCTTTCAGGAAGAGCACCCCATATATGAACTGCCCTATTAAGCTGGAGGGTAAGTGACTTTGGTGGTTTTAGAGGTAGTTTGTTATAGAAACTGTTGGTCTCACCTAACTGAGGCTTCTAAGGGATGTCTACACAGCAAAGAAAAACCCATGGCTGGCCCATGACAGCCTACTCAGGCTCAGTCTGTGGGGCTGTTTCATAGCCGTGTCCTGGGCTGTAGGTCCATGAAATGGGAGGATCCCAGAGCTCAGGCTCCAGCAAGAGACTGAAAGTCTCCATAGGAATGAAGCAGCCCTGCCACTTGAGGCCCACAAGCCTGAGTTGGCTGGCACAGGCCAGTCGCGGGCTTTTCTTTGCTGTGTAGACATACCCAAACAGTCTTGATTTCACTGTGATGCACCATGAATCTGCCTGGAAGCTGCCTTAATTGAATGCTTGTAGGAATTTGTTTTGAAGGATTCAGCCTCCTGACACTTAGGGCTTATCTACACTACCCGCCGGATTGGCGGGCAGCGATCGATCCAGTGGGGTTTGCTTTATCGCGCCTATGCTGAGCACTCTCCCATCAACTCCGGTGCTCCACCAGAACAAGGAGCGCCAGCGGAGTCAACAGGAGAGCATCCGCTGTCGACTTACCGCAGTGAAGACACAGCGGTAAGTAGATCTAAGTATGTCGACTTCAGCTATGCTATTCACGTAGCTGAAGTTGCGTATCTTAGATCGACCCCGCGCAGTAGCGTAGACAAGCCTTTAGCATAACTCTATACAGCTAATCAACCCCAAGGCTTTGAGAATGACTGATACTTATTGGTTACCATTTACACCAGCTGCAGTTTAAGACAAAAGTATCTCTATGTCTTTGGAGGAGGGATTTTTTTTAAAATAAACAAAATATAAACATTCAAAATACCTCAGACCTTGGGGAGGAAGGATAGTGAAAGAGGAAATAGGGATCTTTGCTGTGAATTTAATTGCTGACTCATAATTGCTCCTCACTGAAAAAATACCGAAGTGACACGATAAGGGGGCAGAAGGAAATGTGAGCTGCAAATAATATTAATTGAAATTCTTGGATTTTTTTCATTGAATAATGATTCACAAATAGAGGTCTTGATTCTGCAAACATGTATTGAGCATTGCAATCAATTAGATTAACTGATCTAGTGGATAGATCATTGGACTGGGATTCAGGTGACCTGGGTTTTTTGTCACTACAATTTTTCATTAATTGATCAGTTATATTTACACCCAAATGTTCCCTAGACACATGCAGGGAAGGCAGCTTTCCCAGGCAAGCACCTTCAAGTTCTGTGCTTTCATAAAAAGAAAGTAAATTTCTAACCTTTAGGCTTATGAACCTGAATCAAGGGCTCCCAAGTGCAGAGATGTGTTCTTTACTCTGCTCACAGCTAGTGCCAGTGCCTTTGTTTCTGCTCAGAGCTTTGCCAAGGTGCACTAGGGGAAGCTCTGACCAGAGTCTGGTTACTGTTCATGACTGCTATTAAAGACGTAGTGAGCAGCAGTGAAAACTGAGAAGAATCAGGTCACAGTGCTGCAGCTGGGCATAGCTTGACGAGCAGCAGAGGCAGGCACTACAGCTCTTCATTGCAAAGGGCAACTCACAAATGAAGGCTGGGGGCAGGGCCGGCTCCAGGCACCAGCCGAGCAAGCTCATGCTTGGGGCGGCAGATTCTAAGGGGCGGCTTCCCTCCAATTTTTTTTTTCTTGGTTTGCTGTTCCGTCCGCCTTGTAGGGGGCGCCGGCATGGAGGAGGGGAGCGCCCTGCTGGGAGCAGGCTGCGCACTCCGTCTGCCCCAGACGGTGCCAGGTCTGTAGCAAGCCCCGCAGGGAAGCCCATGTCCTTCCCTGCCCGCCGACCGGAGCGGCACTGAGCCCTCCTGGCAGGTGGTGTGGTAGGAGGGGCTGCGCGGCGAGCGCCCCGCTGAAGGAAGCCCTGGCCACCCCCCTTCTCTCTCCCCATCCTCCGCCCCCCCCCGCTAGCCGGGGTGTGCACTCCACTGCCCGGGGCACATCTGCAGCACTGGGAGTCTCCCTGCACCCGCGCTCCAGCCGCCCTGCACAGTTTGTTTGTTTTTTGCTTTGCCGCTCCGGCCACCCTGCAGGTTTTTTTGGTTTTTTTTTGCTTGGGGCGGCAAAAAAGCCAAAGCCGGCCCTGGCTGGGGGAGAGGAAGAGTATAGAGACCTCACTTGCAGCAGCCTGAAAGCAGAGAGAGGGATAGAGTAGCAGGACCTCCCTTTCTCTCCACATATGTTGCAGCAGCCCAGAATGCTGAGTAGAGATTGGGATGGGAGAGGGGAACAGAGAGAGAAAGAGAAATTCCTTAGCCCTTCCAGCAGCCAGAGGGATATGGCCGGAGGTGAGGGAAGCTTCAAAGTAATCAGATACCTATGAAAGATGGAGTCCACAAGGGACAGATTCCTGTTAGGAATCCCAGCATACTTCCCTTTCCAGCAGCTGGGGCGAAAGGGGGAACATTGGCTTATCAGTTATTAATATTAAGTGTCTAGAAAAGTTGAAAAGCCTTATGTGCAAGTGGATCGGTGTGAAGGAGTGTGGAAGTGGCAGTATTGCCTATCCAAGCTTCAAAAATACTGAGTCAGACCCCTCCAAAGTCATGTCATGGGCTTAAAATCCATGAGATTGGTTTAAAATATTGTATTTGGGACTCTTTATATTTGTCTTCTGTTTTATTAGTCTTTAGAGTTCACTTTTTCAAGCTTTTCTCCATAGAAAGTTATTTTTTTAAATTAAATTTGAGATTCTCACATAATCACGGGGCTCCAGGATCTGGGGCTTTAGGAAAAGAACATCAGATATCATGAGAGTTGGTAGCACTGAGGTGGGCAGCAGTGGAAAGGCAGAAAATCAATGTAGGTGATCTATATAACCATTCTTTCCATAAATTGTGTACTTCTATTCTTGTAATCTTTCCAAAGCGGGGGTGGGGGTGGGGGGGAGAGGAGGACAGAAGGAAAAAATAGCTGAAAGTAACTTGGGGGAAAATATGTAATTATCATAGGAAAGAAAAGACAGACAAAGTGGAATGAAGTCCAACTTGGTAATATGGTAAATTACATTAAAATATTAGATAGAAAATTGATTGACAAGTTACAATGAAATACAGTACCCACTATTACTTTAAATTACCAGGGATAGTACTTCAGTTTTTTAGCCTTGGTGGCATGTCAACATAGGTATTATTCTGGTTATAAATTTAGTCCTCAAGCTAATAGGTACTGGGTATATTTTTCATGCCCTGTAGCAATGTACATAGGTAAAATAGGTTTACCGTGACAGGAAAGTATGCCATTTCCTGTGAATCCTGGGAAGCAATAGCAACCTTGTACTCCACCCTTAACTTCACACGCCGCATCTTTATGGCACGTCATGTTGCAGTTCGGAGAAGTGTAGCCATAGTCCAGCAGACTGGACACAAACACTGAAACAAATGTAAACCATGTTTGTTTGTTTGTTTCTAAAATGCATACTGAATTCTAAAATCAGATATGGGCAGGACATACCCAGCCAACTGGGGGCGTTCCAGCAATCAGACACATAGATGAACACAATATGTTAGGGAAGAGTCAGCACAGCTTTTATAAAGGGAAATCATGTCTCACCAATCTACTAGAATTTGAGAATTCTAAACCCAAACATGTGGACAAGGGTAATCCAGTGGATATAGCATACTCTGGACTTTCAGAAAGCCTTTGACAAGGTCCCTCACCAAAGGCTCTTTAGCAAAATGGGCAGTAATGGGATAAGAGGGAAGGTCCTCTCATGGATCAGTAACTGGTTAAAAGATAGGAAACAAAGGGTAGGAATAAATGGTCAGCTTTCACATTGAAGAGAGGTAAATAGCAGGGTCCCCAAAGAATCTATACCGGGACTACTGCTGTTCAACAAATTCATAAACAATCTGGAAAACAGGGTAAACAGTGAGGTGGCTAAGTTTGAAGATGATACAAAATTACTGAAGATATTTAAGTTCAAAGCTGACTGTGAGGAGTTACAAAGGGATGGTACAAAACTGGGTGACTGGGTAACAAAATAGCAGCTGACATTCAGTATTGATAAATGCAAAGTAATGCACATTGGAAAACATAATCCCAACTATACATATAAAATGATGGGGTCTAAATTTGCAGCTCCCATTCAAGAAAGTGGTCTTGGAGTCATCGTGGATCGTTCTCTGAAAACATCTGCTCAATGTGAAGAAGCAGTCAAAAAAGCTAACAATGATAGGAACCATTAGGAAAGGGATAGATAATAAAAACAGAAAAAATCATAATGCCACTATATAAATCCATGGTATGCCCACACCTGGAATACTATGTGCAGTTCTGGTTGCCCCATCTCAAAAAAGATATATTAGAAATGGAAAAGGTACAGAGAAGGGAAAAAATGATTAGGGTATTGAACAGCTCCCATAAGAGGAGAGATTAAAAGGACTAGGACCTGTTCAGCATAGAAAAGAGATGATTTAGGTATGGTAGAGTTCTATAAAATCATGAGTGGCATGGAGAAAGTGAATAAGGAAGTGTTATTTACCCCTTCATATAACACAAAAACCAGGGATCACCCAATGAAATTAATAGACAGCAGGTTTAAAACAAACATAAGGAAGTACTTCTTCTCTCAATGAACAGTCAACCCGTGGAACTCATTGCCAGGGGATATTGTGAAGGCCAAAAGTATAACTGGGTTCAAAAAAGAATTAAGTAATTCCAAGGAGGATAGGTCCATCAATGGCTATTATTCAAGATGGTCAGGGACACAATCCCATGCTCTGGATGTTCCTAAACTTCTGACTACCAGAAGCTGGAAATGGAAAACAGTGTGTGTATCACTCAATAAATTGCCCTGTTCTGTTCATTCCCTCTGAAGCACTTTGCACGAGCCACTGTCAGAAGACAGGACATGGGACTAGATAGAGCATTGGTCCAACCCAATATGGCCATTCTTATGTTTTTATGTAAACATTAAAGAGTATGGTATCACTGAAGTGGTACAAAGGATTGAAGCTTATGGAGTAAGTTTTGCAGGCCTGGAGACTACTTACATGCTCAAAATTCAGTATGCATTTAAACCTTTGGAGGATTGGAACCTGTGTTCAACAAGCTTAAAATGATGATCAACATAAAAGGTACATAGTGGAGTGGGAAAAATCTTTGAAAGATTTTCAAAACTTTCTACTCCTTCCTATTGAAGATGCAGATACTTGCCTTTGTATCCAGGATTATGCATGGAGTGTAATCCAAACTACCCAACAATAACCAGGTGAAAAATACCAGTGAGAGTTCCCCAGATAAATTTTTAAACCATGTCTACCCATATCTAGTTAACACAGAACATAGTCACAATCTGAAAGAAGATTAAACTCCCCTGGAACAACATTTGTAGCATTATCATTTTAAAATTATTTTAAAGGAAGTCTTTTTAATATCATGTCTGTGTTCCAAAACTGCTACCTTCTATTTTCTCCCACTAAATGATTCCTGAATTAAGAAGCTGCTTTCCCATTGTATAGTTTTCAACACAAAGAAAGACAGAAGAACGGCTGACTTTGAGGAAACTAACAGTTCACAAAAAATTATACATGCCCACATAAATATATATAATTAAGAAAACCAGGCAGCTAACACTGGAGGGAAAAAACATTTCCGACTTTGTACTTTGCAAACCATTAGAAAGACATAAGGAAAGTTACAAAACATAAAGTCCCTTCTTGGTACTCCCTTCCCCTGCAGTTCTGCTTCTCTCTACCAAAATATCATGCTGAATACTTGCTAGCCTACTGTTACAATTACAGCTTTCGCTGCCCCTGAAGAGTTCAGTGAAAATTTGCTTTGCTGGACAAATAAAAATTTCATGAAAAAACTCAAAAAATTAAAAATTACATTTGTTTAAAAACTATATACAAACCAAATCAATTCATTTCCTACCAAGTTTCATCTTCTTGCTCATTTATTTTTACTGTTCAGAGCATCTTTCAGATATTAGAAGCAAAAAAGCTAGAGGAGAAGTGAAGTCCAAGAACATCCCTAACCAAGACAATCAATAGCATTGGTTTTACAGAGGAGATTACAGAATGAAATAAATGCAAGCACTTGAGGGATTCAGAGAGTTAATACTTATGGCCTTTAAGATGTTGGGGTTACCCTGATGAGATGGGATAGTCAAATGCAGCAGCAGCACTAACCAGAGTTCTGGGAAACTTTTAATCACTGTTACCCATGAGTTTTCCCCTCATCTGCCACTGACTCCATCCCATGCCTAGCCCCTGCAAAGTTGTCCCCCAGTTTCATCTTTCCAACCCCCACCACTTCTTCCACCTGCCCCTCACTTATTTGCGAAGCAAAATCACCTACCTAGGAGAGGGAGTAGTTTCATTGGTGGTGCTGCTATGCAGTGCTTGGTGTTGAGTCCCTGTGTAATAGAAGAACCTGCCCTGCCTTAGAATGTATGAGCATGTGCGAGGTGTCTGCACACGCCCATTAGGAATGTGAAACCCCAGTGAAGCTGCTGGCCTTACCCTGCCCTTTACCCCAGCCTCATTCTCCCCCCCCCCCCCCCCCAAAAAAAACTTTGTAGTGACTCAGGAGCTGGAGAGGGAGGGTAGAGAAGGAGAGGAACCGATCTGCAGGGGAAGATAAGGAGCAGATGAGAGAGCACAGGGGAATAAGCAGGCAGCAGGGGTAGGTATGGAGGGGATGTTGGAGTAGATCAGCGGGTGAGTAGGCTAGAGGAGTAGTTTGAGGGGCTCAGAGGGCAGTGGAGCGATGGAGAAGCAGATTGTCACTGTGAGGCGGTGGTGCAACAGATGGTGAGGGTGGAGGGTGGCAGGCCAGATGCAGAACAGATCAGTGGCAGGGAGGGTGGAGGCAGTTTAGGTAGTGGAGGGGGGCGGGGTGGAGCAGACCAGGGACTGGGAGGGTAGCAGTCGCAGAGTGTAGAGAGGGACGGGCAGTGGCGCAGATTGGAGCAGGGGAATACTGGACAAATCATAGAGGATGGGAGGAACAGACAGACAGAGGGGTGCACGGGGTTGATAAGCAGCTCAGAAGCTGCTGCATGTCTCCCCTGGCTGTTCCCTGTCAGAGCCCTAACACCTATCTCTGAGAGAAGACCCCCACTGCCTGTAGTTGTTCTTGTCCCTATTGCTGTCCTCATTTTGAGGGAGGTCCTAATTGCTGCCAGGCTCTGTCACTTTAAGGGTAACAGCCTGAGAAAAAGTACAGGAAATCCACTGAACTCTGCTTTGTGAGGAAAACAAAGACATGGAGACAGGGAGGAAGGAGGCAGGAAGGCAAATACATGGCTGGGAATGTCAGGAGTAGAAGGAGCCAGCATTTCTAAGGATTTATGTGACTGAAGCAGAAAGTTATGCAGCAAGGCATATTCAGGAAGGTTGATTCAGCAAAGCACTTAGACACATGTTTACTGCTGATTGTCATAATCCCATCCCTAGTCAGCAAAGGGAGTGAATCAACAGGATTTAAGCCTGTGCTTAAAATTAAACATGTGCTTAAATCCTTTGCTGAATCAAGGCCTAAGCATGCAAGGAAGGATGGATTATTCCAACTAGGAAGATCATTATACAGCAGGCATCCTTTTTCTCCCTGGAAATTCATGATATCTTGTACTGAAATGGTCACTGGTCTCTTGTCTCCAGCTTCTAGTTAAAAAAGGCAGGCCAACACAGGAAATACACCAGGCAGGCTAGGATACTGTCAGGGCCGGCTTTAGGCCAATTCCACCAATTCCCCCGAATCGGGCCCCGCGCCTAAGAGGGCCCCGCACCCAGTGGCAGGGCTGCCCAGAGTGGGGGGCAAGTGGCAGAGAATCCCTTCCCTGGCTAGAGACACCTTTTTAATTTTTACTCACCCGGCGGCGCTGTGGGTTTTGGCAACACTTTGGTGGCAGGTCCTTCAGACCCGGAGCGAGTGAAGGACCCGCCACCAAAGACTAGGAGCGCGGCCCGGTGAGTACAAGCCCCACGTGTTTTTTTTACATGGTTTTTTTTTAGTCATCCCTGTCGGGGCCCCGTCGAAACTCTTCGAATCGGGCCCCGCACTTCCTAAAGCCAGCCCTGGATACTGTCATCATCCCAGCTCAGACAGTATTGCTGAGCTACCTTGGACTAGGGTGACCAGATGTCCCGATTTTATAGGGACAGTTCTGATATTCGGGGCTTTTTCTTGCATAGGCGCCTAATACCCCTCACTCCCGTCCCGATTTTGCACACTTTCTATCTGATCACCCTACCTTGGACCCAGGCATAGAGATTAGAATCAAAGAAGGTTGGACCATAGGTTGGAATGGTAACTTCTGATGAATGGCATTGGATGTGCAGAGAGCATAAGGGAGATAGATGCTAAAAGCAGAACAGAAGGTAGAGATTGCGAGGGAACTGAAAATGATATGAGGAACTCAGATCAGATTGAGTAGGCAATAGGGAGTCAGGGATTTAGGAATGTCTGAATGTGATCTTAATACTGGGAGATGTGGACTATTTTTGCAACAGAGAACTGGAAAAATTGCATGATGTGTCAATTGGATTCTGAAGAGAATAAGATTGCAATAATCAAGGATGATGGAAGGATTTCTGTGGTGAGAATGAAAAGGAAAAGGAAAGATTTCAGAGACATTTTGGAGATTAAACCAGCTGGATTTACTGATAGTGTCTACCAGTATATGGGATAAGGAGTAGATTGTCACATAAGAAGAGAAAAGTAAGTGAAACATGAGAATATAGACACTTGCAAAATCTTCACTGTCATAGTTTTCAAAATCTGTTGAGGAAAAAATTGGTGAGATGTTAAAAATATTAAATCGATATATGCATGATCATGTCTATAGAAGAGAGGGGCAGGGGCGTGTGTACACATACATACACATCCCTGTGCATTTGAAAAGGACATTCAAATAAATGATGTGAGAAGGTGACATGGAGTGTCAGTGCTGAAAAATCTCTTCCACTTCCCAACAAATAAAGAAACAACCATAAATGATTCATGACAACTTGGTAAAGAAAACATATACCTTCGTTTTTATAATCCACATGAGGCTCAATGCGGCTCTGGTTCTTGCCCTGCTCCTGGGACAGTGTAGTTTACTCAGGCTGGATTTCCCATGCTGATCTTGTTGGTAGGCTTAAGGACCTCCCCCCAGCCTAAGGGGAGGATCCACATGTCCGGGATTCCAAATAATTGTGGGAGACAACCTGACGGGGACACCGAGCAGAGAACCCTGGACAGCGCCCACTGCTCCTCGAAGGTGTCAAGGGAGCCAGCGGATGCCGTCCAGAGGATACGTGAACGGACTAAGGAATGGAAATAGGTCCCACAGTTGCAGGAAACCCCGTCGGCCAACCTCCTCTCCCTGGTTTTGTAGATGGCCATTTTGGCCAGGGCTAGGAGGAGGTTGACAAAGAGGTCCCGCGACTTTGTGGGGCCATGGATGGGGAGTGTGTAGATGACAGGTGATGGGAAAAGTGCAACCAAAAATGCAATAGTATATCCAAGAGGAGCCGGAATAGGGGCTGCAACCTCACACACTCCAGGTATACGTGCACCAGGGTCTCCCTCACGCTGCAAAAGGGGCAGGTGTCTGGGAGGAGAGTGAACCGTGCCAAGTACACGCCTGTGCTCACGGCTCCGTGAAGGAGCCGCCAGCTGACATCCCCGGTGGGCCTCAGGACCAGGGTGGAATATAGACTGGTCCATTGGGGCTCCTCACCCTCCAGAGGTGGCAGGAGGTCCCACCACTTCGTGCTGGGGTGGGACACGAGGGTGAGGACATGAAGGGTGTGGAGCACGAGCGTGTACAGATGTTTTCGTGGCATGGTCCGGAATCGAACTGGCTGCAACTCGTGCAGCCGGCTCACGGTAATGGGGCGGGATGACTGGGAAGATCTACAGGGTAGGGGCCTGATGAAAAGGTCCGAAGGGCCTGGGGTGGAGGGTGGGCGGGGCGTGCCCTCTCGCAGGACCAGGTAGAGGAAAACCTGAGCAGTGGGCGGTAAAGTGGCCCTCACCTCCTGAAATATGCGCCGGGGAGTACGAGGCCGGGAGAGCCCCATGCGCCAAGTGAGCATCAGGGGATTCAGCCAGTCTCCCCGGTCGTAGTCCAGGAGGTCTCCGACTGGTGACTTCCACCAGGCCCAACCTCTGGTGCATCGAGGGGGACTCCGCCACCTGCACACGGAGCTGGGGGTTGTGTAGCAGGGGCTTTGCGAGGAGAGCCACCCCCTCGGTGGCTGCCACGGACCTGGTCACCAAGAGCAGTTTCCAGGTCCGGAGAAGGCCCTGGTAGAAGGCTGGCAGCCCAGAGAGGTCTCCTAGAAGATCTCTCAGATGGAGATAAAGGTCGTATCAGAGCCCTCGGAAGCGGCGCAGTAAGGCGTGTGGCAGTATGCTCCATGCCGGACTACCTGCACCATAAAGGAGCCTCTGCAGGGTCTGGAGGTGGAAGACGTGGACCTGAGTGTACAGGCACCTCAGGCCCTGTCCTCCCTCCTCCAGAGGCAGGTGGAGGACCCCTGCAGATACCCAGTGCAGTCCTGGCCAGAAGAACTCCAGAATTGAAGTCCGGAGGTTGGCCAGGAAGCCTGGGGGCTGGGACCAGGGTGTTGAGCCGGTGCCAGAGCATGGACAGGACTAACTGATTGAGCACCAGTGCCCTCCCTCGGAGGGAGAGGCACCAGAGTAGTCCCGTCCATTTCCAGAGCCGCTCTACCACCCTGCCCTCTAACCCTTGCCAGTTCTCTGGCGGAGATGGATGTGTGGCAGAAAGGTAAACACTGAGATAGAGCAGCGGACCCGCGCTCCACCAAATGGCTTGAAGTGCGGGTGGGAGGGAGCTCGCCTGCCACCCGTCCCCGACCACCAGGCCAGAGCTCTTGACCCAGTTGACCCAGGCGGAGGAGGCTGCCGAGTAGATGGCTTGGCAAGCCTCCACCCATACCAAGTCGCCCCGGGACCACAAGGAGCATGTCGTCAGCGTACGCCAACAGGACCAGCCGCAGCTCTGGCTCTCGCCTGATATGCTGATGCTGATATAGCATGTATGTTCTCTTCTTGCAAATGTTAACAAACTTACCTTCACATGCAGCATGCTCACGATACCTGTAAATAAAGGAACCTCTAGTAAAGCACAGACTTAATAGTTAACTCATTGTCCCACTAAACTAGCTATAGGCAAATAGCTTGATAGTCTTTTTTTTTACCAGAGATGTATATTTGCATATACCTGATTAGCAGGTTTTCACTGAATATTTTAAAAAATAAGGCCCTAGTCCTACAAAGATTTATGCATATGATTAACTTTACACATGGGGAATAGTCCCATTTGTGTATTCAGGATCAGGGTCTTAGTTAGGCATGAGCATATGTATATGTACAGATGAGGGATCCTAAATTTTAAATTCTGATTTTTGATCACTAATCACAGAGATTAAAGTTATCCTGTGTCAAACTGTAAAGTTCTCAAATAAATAGGTGTTTGTTTGATGGGA